AACCTATAACTAAAAAATAAATATTAAAAAAAATGAAGGCTTTTTCTTTGGATATAGGCCCATCAGTGGGAGTTTTCTCTCTTGAATAAACCATATCCACAATACAGCCTCTCTGATTTCCATATTTTGTTTCTTTCAGGTGATGTAAGAACTTTATGATTGTTAATTTGTCTTTTGTTTTGGGGGTTTTTTTTTGTAGTGCTGGGGATTGAACCTGGACCTTACATATGCTAGGCAAGAGCTCTAGCACTGAGCTACACCCATCCTTACACAAGAACTGCAAAGCAATCTAAGTGTAGGATACATCTAAATGTTTATCATATTTTTCCAGGTTTTTTTTCACAGCCATCTTATATTTATTTTGAATAGTATTTTTTAAATCAACTTGGCTTTTGATTTTCTAAAGCATCCATTCTAGTTCTCAGTAGCAATTCTTCGTACATTTGTATTTCATTGTTTATATATGAATTTAGAATACCAAACTGACATGAACACAGATCTGGGATCAAACAAAAATGAGTCTTAATGATTGTACATCACCTGGTGGAAACATAATCAAGTGGGTACCCTGGGAAGTAACCTGTTAATTGGCTCGTGTTCCTCATGCCAAGGGCATCCCTCATGTCATCCCAAGGGGAATTTGATTAACCTGGCAGTTCACTTAAGGAAAAGTAAATAAAGTTGAATTTTATTTAAATGATGCAGATATCCTTAGACTTTTAAAAAACTGTATTAAAAAAATAGAATCTAATATTCTAAGCATCATGGAACAGTGGAAAGAGTACATGGGCTTTTGAGTTGAAACCAAGCCAGGTGCCTGCTTAATTCTGTTATATCCCTGAGCAAGTTCTCTTGTCCTCATTTCTCATCTGTAGGTAGAACTTATTGTGAGAATAAAATAAAAACATGAGACATCTAGAATAATATCTGCCTAAAAATGATAGTTGCTGTCCTGGGGTCATGACTTAGTGGCAGAGTGCTTGCCTAGCACGGGTAAGGTTTGGCACCATATAAAAATAAAGTAAAGGTATTGTGCCCATCTACAACTAAAAATATTTTTAAAAAAATGACAGTTGCTAATATTATCGTTAACTTTTAGGGCTTATTAACTAGATTAATTTTTTTGACATTAGTAATTCAAATGAGGTCTTAAAAAATGCTATATAGATTTTTATAATTTAAAAAAATTATGACAGTCTTTTTGTTTTTTAAATAGATCTTTTACATGAATTCTTTATGATTATCTGGTTGTTGTTTTTTAGATTTGATGACTCAATCTTTCTTTCCTTCCATAAAAGGTATTTTACAGCTTTCACCACAGCTGCATCAGCTTACAGTTATTATCATTATGGTCGGAAAACTGTTCAGGTGATAAAAGGCAGATGAGAGTCACCCATCACCATTAGCAAGGAAGCAATACACATCATCCGTGGCAATGCCAGCGAAAATCTACAGGAGTTTCCCTATTTTGGTGTTCAGCTTGTAAAAGGACTTGTCAGAACAAACCATGTCATCAAAATTGAAGTAATGTGCATTGAAAATAAGCTTGATCATGGGCATATGCAGAATTTCCAATGTATTTTTAAGTATAAATAAAACTATAATTTAGAATTTTTAATCTTAGGTTTCTTGACTATAAAGAGATGAATTATTCCAATTATTGTCAGTCCTTTTTTATGTTTTTTAAAAATATAGTTCAGAGCATGGAAACTGAAGTGTTGACACCTGTCTCTAGAATCTAAGTTGCTCATGAAGCCATAGGGACTTGCCTGGGATTAAATATATATCTTATATAACTTGGCTATTCATTTTTATGTTTGATTTTTAGATTCATGTATACATTAACAGTTCATGTGGTTATTATTTGGTCATTTAGGGTAGTGAGAATAAAGCAAAATTGTAAAGAGATAAGTGTGGTAAGTTTTAAAAATAAATAAGATCAAACAAAATAGAAGGTATTGAAGCTCATCTCATGTTCAGTAGTCTTCCAGCCTCTCAGGTGCCTAATAGTTCATATATCAGGATATAACAAGTAACAAAGATAGTTGAAATATGAGAACTTGTCCATTAGTCTTTCATCTAAAAGCAGTGAGTTACATCATGCCTTCCAACTGTGTTTCTAACATTACAATATTTGTATGATATTGGAACCTGTACTCATATATTGTGTAAATAATATGAAACTGTATATTTTTCAAAGATTTTTTAAACTTTGGGAAATCTTCTTTTGTTAAGATGTTAAAGGAATAAAAGCTGGAAAAAAAATAAAACTGTACCTTCAACTTGGGTTGTTCATGGTGTGTATTCATCCTCTCCCATTATGTAAGTTTTCTGATTCATGAAGTCCATTTTCAGTTGTACTTAATTGTAAAAGTCATTGATTTGGGACCATCTAATATAAAAGACCTTATTGCTACACTATCATGTTGAAGAGAGTGGGGAGTACAAGTCGGGGAGGAGAAGACTAGCTGGTGTTGGTTGGTTCCTATTAATAGTGGAGGTCTGTTGCTGCCCATTGTTCCTGGTTTTAACCCAAGTATAACATGAGATCATACTGTGAGATTATCCAGTCCACAGCCTGTTGATCTGCTTTAAGTTAAAATGGGAAGTTAGAAGTAAAGCTTGTGCCTTTTTAGCATTGTGCCTCAGTGTGCCCCCTCTTGCTGGTCCTGGCTTTCCTGTTGTCATATAAGCAGCTTAACCACTCTAGGCTTGGAGCTTTCTGAAGCCTGCAGTCAGAAACACTACCACCACTGGATCTTACATGGAGGCAGGTAAGAAGGAAAAGAAGATTGGCGTGGAGCTGGATGTTCGCCCTCTCATAGGCTGGAGGTGGGAATCCCACTGACAAGACCATCCAAGAAGTACGCAGAGGGCATCTCAGCACTAGCCAGGTGTGAGCACAGAAAAATATATATTTTTTTAAAAAGGAGACTTGTAGTTATGGGGAAATTGAGGATTTCATGCATTGTTAACACTTATTTACATTTTAGTGTTGCTATTTGGGGTGATATGAGTTGGATCCATAATCAAGTTGAGATTAAGATCAATCTGGCTCTGTTCTATATACTTTTTCCACATCTACCATTAGAAAAAATGGTCCAAGTCTCCTCAGATTCTTGGAGCCTGGATTGTTATAAATTCTGCCATTTTATAAAACATTGCAATTGTAGTAAATTAGGCATATTCAAGTACGTGTGCATATAGACTCAAAATACACAAAGTTGAAGTCTTCACCGAATAGACAATATTAGTAAAAACATTGGGATCGTTTAATTACATGTCAAGATTTTACATTAATTTGTCACATTTTTGGCTTTTTTTGCAGTTTTGAAGTAGGAGCTGGGAGACATCTTTTAAATCAGTCTAATTCTCTTGGTTGCATATGTGATGAAGTTAGAGATACACAAGAATTTCAGGAAACTCAAAATTTCAAACACCTAGAAATATAGTGTTCAGTTATTCAGTTCAAAATTTGATATGCTTTAGCTTCTGCAGAATGTTTTGGGAACGAAATATATAGGATTCAAATGGCTTTTTCTTAGAAAAGAAAAAAATTGCTGTTATGGAGTAAATCATGCCCCCCAGAAGATATGGTCAAGTCCTTAAGAGTACCTGTGAATTGACCTTGTTTGGAAATAGGGTCTTTGCAGATTTAATCAGGTCAGGATGAGGTCATACTGGATTACAGTGGGCCTTAATAAATGACTAATGTCTACAGGAAAAGGGAAATTTGGACACAATGTCATGAGATGATGGAAATAATATCTTACAAGCTAAGGAGCACCAAGGATTGCCACCAACCATCAGAAGTGAAGGGAAAAAGAAGCAAAGGTTCCATCAGAACCTTCAAGAGGAGGAACCAACCCTGCTAACTTGATTTGGGGTTTCTGGTCTGAACTACAAAAAGTAAATTTCTGCTGTTTTGAGCCATTTAGTTTCTGGTAATATGGCAGCCACAGAAGATTAATGCTAATACAGAATGTCAAAATCTAGAAATAAAGGCCCCAGTTATAATTTCATAGAATCACTTTCCCCCCCTAAGTTTGTCATAAATGAAAGAGTAGATGCATCCTACACAAAGACACAAATCATAAGACATTGATATAATTGAGAGATGCTTTGGCTTCTGGCCAGAGCTTAGAGGTTCTTTTTTGCCCATTTCTTTTCTAGATCTAAACAAAGTTTGTAAAAGTAAGCTTATTCTTCCTTAAATAGGAATTTATAGTAACGTTGTCCACTTAGACTTGGGTGAAATGCAGTAAGTGCTGACTTTTAAGCTAAGAGCCTTTTCCTGCATTTCAGAGATGTTCCCAGAAGACCAGTTTTAACTGTAAGGCAGTAAGGACATTTTTTTGCAATACAACTAATAAACCCAGAAGGCCTTCAGGAAACCACAGTAGCTCTTTTCCCTGGCTGCCAGTTCTCAGATTAAGAATCCACTGGAGTTAAGTCCTTGAATAATACAGCTCATTAATTGTGCCTTAGCCAAAGGTTGACCGTAAGGGGACTTTGGCTAAGAAGACCCAAGGAAGTCATTTCCCATATGACAGAAGACATTGGGTTATGTAATTTCTGTTTTTCTCTCTTCCAACTTCCATATATTATTCTACTGGATACTGAGGAACACTTAACTGCTGAAAACCCAATGAGACCACACAAAAGAATGGCAGGTGCGAATGAGAGTGTTCTGACATTTACCAGGTTTCTGAGCAAAGTAGAAGGAAGGGAAAGCAGTTGTTCCTTGAGCTAAAAAACAGTATGGCAAGTTCCCTGTGTGCCCCGGGCATGCTGGCTTCATGGAATTGGAGCCCACTGGGCCACTGTTCTGTTGTCCTTTGTTTAGTCCTCTGTATTTTCTTCTGCACATAGATGGAGTTTGATTAGAAGGAAGCTGGGCTAATTGAGGATCTGGAGCTCCAGCAGATAACCAAAGGCTGGTTGTTTGGTTTTGGTAATGGGGATCGAACTCAGGGCCTGGTACACACGAGGCAAGTGCTCTACCACTGAGCTACGCTTTCAGCCATCACTGGGTTTTTGAAGGCCACCAAGTGTGTATCGTAGCGCTGCCTGTGTGATGTCCAACCCCGCCTGCAGAGACACACAGACAGCACTAGCGTGCTGATAAGCAGAAGACTGCTGGTTGCACACAGTCCTGCCAAGATGCCCAAGTAGCTGGGCTTGGTGGTGAAGTTGGTGCATGCCCTCCTCCAGCCTGAGGCCCGAGGCAGGCTCAGGCCAGCCCTGTTGGCTGCCAGCACACACACGCGGTATGTGGTGCCAGGCGAGAGCCCATACAAAGGGTGCTGACGGGCGGTGGCATAGATGTTCTCTACCACTGTCTGGTTCTCTGCCTTGCCCTCTGCGAAGTAGCGGATCTGGTACCTATGCACCACTGAGTTGGGGGCACACCAGAGGATGAGTGCTGATGTGTCTGTCATTTCTGACACCCCCTGCAGCCTGGGGGGGTCTGGAATAGTGTCTTCCCGGCTGAGGCCAGGGCAGCTGCACCCTGAGTGCCTCTGCAGTTCGGCGCATGGGGTCTGCAAGTGCTTGCATGGATGGTAATCACAAGCGACATACTGTTCAGGTGCTCTCACCTCTTCCTTGGTCCCTTCCTCTTCACCATAGTCATCCAACAAGACGACTGGAATCCCACCCTCCGAAGGACTCGGCTGGGGAACCTGGGGGGTGGCCTGTGACCTCTGATCAGTCTGAGATGTGTGCACGGGGTTCCTTGAGGTGGGGAAGGGACCACGGTGTTTGCTGGCCTGTGGGGTGGAGGCAGCTGAGACATCAGTTTCAAGGACAATCCTGGTAGTATGTTTTCCTCCATGATTTGTCCCAGCTGTGCTGGCAGCATTGGGTGGAACACTGAAGTTATAGTAACTTGCCGTGGAGTTGACACTGGACTGGGCAGTCCCCTCCCCAGCATCACCATGAGTCCATGCAGCTTGTGAGAGGGAAACCGCAGGGTGGGAGGGGGTGTTGGTGACGCTCTGTTGGCCTCCTGAAGGCTGGGTGGAGGGACCCTGTGTAGATGGTGTATAGCCTGAGTGGTCAAAGGAGGGTGGGTTTGAAGCCAGGACGGTGGTCCTGTGGTCTGACCTGCACAGATCAGGCAGCTGGGAGAGCAGAAGAGGAACCGAGAAGGGACCTCCAGATCCAGCAGCTGGTATGCACATAGTGTCTTTGGCCCTAGAGAGGAAGCCAACCAATTAGAAGATGCCTGGCTCTGAGGCTGCATGTGAGCTGGGTGTCAAATCCTCAGAGCATTTGTCCCGTCCTGCCAAGGCTTGTCAACATGTCTCTTGCCAACACGTCTAACTTGGCATGTGCTTCTCACACATGGCCTCACTGAACCTCAATATATCTATTCAGAAGGCTCCTATCACCACTTCCATTGGGCAGAGGGGGAAACTGATTTTCATAAAGAAGAACCAACTGCCCAAAATACCATGGCTAGTCAATGGCAGAACCTAACCTGGGGCAAGCACTCTGGGCATCCCAACTCTCTAAGGATAGTTGGCCATTTTGTTCGCACCTGTCCGCTTCCTGGCAGTGAGTACTCATGATAATATTCACACACTTGGTAACATTTCTGAGTGCTGCCATGTGCTGGATTCTATCCTTCACACTTTAAACTAATTTAGTCTATGCTATCTTATGAGGTAGGCACCATTATACCCATTTTCTAGTTAAGGCAGTAGAGGTACAGAGAGATTAAGTGACCACCAAATCAATAGTAGGAGGTGGTAGGAAGCCACACTCTAGCTCCAGCCTGAACTCTCAACTCCTTCATCAATACCATAGCAAGAAACCCTGGATGGCAGAGGGCCTGGGCACCTATGTTGGGAAGCAACCTGGGGAACAGGAGTACAGATTATGTCTCACATTGCAGCTGGGCTTGGGTGGGAGGTAGAAAAGAATCCTGCAGATGGGAGGATTGTTTCCCAAATAGGAGCAGTTGGCTGGTGGAGCTGGTTGGAGAGTACTCATCATGGGGGATATTTCTAGTGCCCCAGTCCCCATCTTCTCCTGGTACCAGCCTGGGTGTGGCTCCCTCACTGCAAAAACAGCTCTTCCAGCCAAAACTTGCATAAGAATTCTTTTTTTTCGCTGTCCTGCAAGACAGCTCTGAAAGCCTACAGGCCTTGAGTTAAATGGCCCAGGAGCAGGAAGCCAGACTCCATCTTGGAGATTCAGCAGGGTCTGGTGGTTGAGAGTCAAGTTTTGGAGGAAGATAGAACCTGACTTCTCCATCCAGTGGCTGCATGAATTTAAGCAAGTACCTCATCTGTTTGGGTCCCATTTCCTTCGTCTGTAAAATGGGACAAAAATACATACACTTGCTTTAGCAGAGACAAGCTAGCTGTTCACCTGACTCACCTCCTTTTCCCACTGGGCACATGGCTAGACGACAAATCCCAACTTTCTTTGCAGTTAGATGTGGCCTGTTGACTGAGATTTTGAGCAGAAGCGAGGTCACCACCTACCAGCCTGACCCATATAAAATCTCCCAAGGCAGCTCCTCCATGTTCTTTGCCCCTTCTGGCTGGCAGGAAAGGGGACAGAGCCTCCACCACCCTGGTGTAACTAAATGGAGGAGGGGATGCTCTGTGCAAAGCTGCTCAAAGGCCCAGCATCATCACATGAGCAAAGATGCACGCTGAGACAACTTTCCCTCCTGAAGGCGAAGTAACCTCAGTCATCTTGTTTTGTAAGTGTGTTACCTGCTTAGGATAGTTCTCTTTGCATCCACAAGGAGCCAGGACAGCTCACAGCTGCAAGTGAGAGGGTTGCCGAAGAGGTTGATGGACAGAACCTGGGAGGAATTCATGGTCCAAGGAGGGAAGGAACTCAAGTTGCAACTGAATAACACACACAAACACACACACACACACACACACACACATACATACACAAAAAAAGAAAAAAATCAATTAACTCAGGCTTTTACAGACACTTTAAAAAAGTTCCCCAGAGAGCTGGGTGTGGTGGCTCATGCCTGTAATCCCAGTGGCTTGGGAGGCTGAGGCAGGAGGAAAACAAGTTCAAAACCATTTTCAACAAAAGCAAGGCACTAAGAAACTCAGTGAGACCCTGTGTCTAAATAAAATACAAAATAGGGCTGGGGATGTGGCTCAGAGGTCGAGTACCCCTCAGTTCAATTCCTGGTACCAAAAAAAATGTTTCCCAGAAAGGCATGGTGGTGTTATAGAAAAATCATTCTGTTAGGGGTTAGAGGATATTGCTTTGGATAAAACATTCGATGATTTTGAACCTCATTTTTTGCCAACCTAATGGAGTCAATATCATTTCTCATATAAAATAAGGATAACACTTTCATGCCAATAGGTCATATCATGCTGAAGGTATTTATGAATGAAAATCTCTATACATAAGTAGATATTTTTATTACAGACCAGAGACAATAATTGGTAGATTATTTTTTTTCTTTGCAGTGCTGGGCATCAAATCTAGGACCTCTCACATGCTAGGCAATTGCTCTACCACTGAGCTATACCCCCAGCCCAAATTTCTTAATGAGAACTTTATTAATGGATGCAACTGCAGCTGTAGCATAGGTGATGGCACACGACACCAGTCCTAGGAAAGATGCCTCACTTAAGCATATCAGTTAGCTCTGGCTAAGTAGAGAACTGTGCCCCAAAACTTAATAGCTTGATCCAATAAATATTTTCTTTCTTTCACATGATTCTGAGGGTTTGCTTGGTGCTTCTTGTAGTCCAGGCCAGCTCGGCTGAGGCCATAGGATCTTGGATGTTCCCACATGTATGTGGCCTCAACAGTGTGTGCTAGGACCTTTCTCCTTGCATCTCATCACTCAGGAGGTCAGCCTAGACTTTTACATGGTAAAAGACTTTTACATGGGTCCCCAAAACAAGAGAGGGCCAGCCTGTGTTCAACTGTGTTCTAGTTTATGCTTACATCACATTTGCTAATATCCCATTGGCTTAAGCAAATCACAGAGCCAAACCCAACTTCAAGCAGTGAAGAAATAGACACCACCTTTTGGGGCACGCCGACAGGGGTGAGAGGAATTACCATGGTCATTTTTTGCAAATAGTATTAGCAACAGCAATCCATTCTTGGTTCTCCTTCCTTTATTCCCTAGAGTCCCCACAGAGTATTTGGCCTCAACTCCTTCCTCTCCAAGTCTCCTGGCCCTCATAGATTTTGCATCCTTTACATGGATTCAGTTAGAATTCATCATTAACATGAGCTGGGCTTTTCCTGAAAGCCCCGTCTTATCAAAGGATGCCTTTCTTCCATTTATCTGGGAACCTGCCTCCTCTTACTAGTACTCTGGGGCAGATGCTAATGTTCTGGGTAAGGAATGACATACCACCCAGATCTGCTCTATCACTTCTGGCCACCAGGAAGGTGAAAGGCATCACCTCTGGAATGCCAGCTATAAGTGTGTGCCATTTATATTGAAACTTAAACCATGCCCACATAAACAAGCTTGGATTCACCTTCATACCTATTCTTCCCAATCCAGTCTGATGAATTGTTATTTCCATCTACTTTATAACACAGCACATGGCATGTGCTTCTGCTATTGGTCACATATTGAACTGTGAGCTCCTTGAAAACAGGGGCCATCACCACCATCACCATCACCGCCATCATCATCGCTATTTCTATAAGACACCCACTATATGCCAGAAATTAAGTGTTCTACACATGAAAAGCCCCAAGGTAAAATACTATTGTCATATCTCTGTTTTACAGAAAAAGAAACTTTATGTTGTTGATATTCTGGCACATTACACAGTTCTTGGATTTTTATCAAGTTCAAAAAAAGAGTTAGAGCCAGACACATACAGTGTTTTCCCTCATAATGTTGTGTGCTCAATGAATGAAGGAAAGAAGGAGTGAACGGCTCTGTCTTTGAATAACTATTCAGCCTTTTAGTCCATCTCTAGTGACTTTGTTGGGTAAGACAGAACTAACAAGACCCACTTCTAAACTTCCCAGGGATTTTTGTCAATAATACATCCAGTGATATTTGCAGAATTCTTTGGTATTTTTTATAACAGTATCTACTGGATTCTGGAAGGCAGGTGGGGAGGTATTATTATTCTTCTTTTACTTAAAAATACCAGGCTGTGCCAGGTGTAGTGGCACATACTTATAATCCTAGTGGCTTGGGAGGCTGAGGTGGGAGGACTCCAAGTTCAAAGCCAGCCTCAGAAATTTAGCAAGACTCTGTCTCAAAATAAAAAGGACTGGGGATGTGGCTCAGTGGCAAAGTGCCCTGGCTTCCATCCCTAGTACCAAAAACAAACAAACAATCAAAAATGTCATCCAAATCAGTGGTTGCTCCTGGGCACCAAAGTGGGACACACTGGACATCCACCATGCCAGAGGGCACCAACTCCAGATCTTAGCTGCAAGACCTTCCCTCCCAGACCTGCTCAAACCCTGCAAGGGACTGAACTTGTATGATGTGTGGGAAAGGAGGTGGATCCAGTAGAGAAAACATCCAGCCTGATGTTTTCACCCCCTCTTCCTACTGCACATTTCTCAGCTGGACTGAAAAGAAACTTGTATATCTAAGAGTTTGGATCTTTAATATGACTATGAACTGGACTGAATTGCTGGTTATTAGGCTGGGTGGATCATCTGAGACCTGTCCCAATTGCCCCAAAGGATGAGGAAGAATAAAACCCCAGAGAAGATTTGGAAGAGCAGGGAGAGAAAGATTAAGATCCAGTTTGTTCTATAAAATTCAACACAATATAATAGAACAAAAATCAATTCTGTGATTAAGATGTGTCTTAGAAACACTTACTTCTGGAACAGAAGGACCTGTAGACAAGGAGTGTCTTGAAAGATGTGTGTGTGGACGGAAGTAAGTGCTGGGGAGGCCTGACAATCCAGATGCTGGAGGTTAGGGGTCATCTTGAAAATGTCTCCCTCCAGGATCCTCAGCCTGGGCATCTTCCTCAGGTAAAGGGACGTGAGCTTCGGCAGGTCTCTGATCCACCCAGTTTCAACTGAAACACAGAGGGGACACTGTCCTTTACCCCAAAAGACACAAATTCAGGTCAGCCCATCATTAAGGAAACAACAAAGTGACAAGAGGAGTCACAAGCATGGGTGCAGTTATTGATTTGGGGGATCTCAGAAGAATGGCCATTTTAGCTGGAAGGGCCCTCAGGGATGACCAGTCCTTCCTGTCTTCTAGCCAAAGTTGTCTAGGAGAACTGTTGGCCCAAAGCCATACAGCTGAGAAGGGACAGAGTAAGACTGGTACCCAGGACATTCCAAGCCCACTGCTGCCTCACCTGATTAAACTCCGCACACAAAATAACCAGACTTCACTGCGATGGCTCCCAGGAGTGAGGAACCTTTGAGGCATGTAAGTAAGGAGAGGGGATCAGCCCAGAGTAGAACCAGAAGCCAATTTTTGTGGCTTTCCCAATAAATGGAGAATGTGCTTCTTCTCCTCTGTATTTTCCATTCTTGTTTTTTTCTTGTTTCTTTGTCCCTGACAGACAGGTGGTTATAGACACATGAAGTTTTTTTTTTTTTTTAAAAAAAAAAAAAAAAAAAAGCAATAAAACCAACCTTGCAAATCAAAGTAAGAACACCAAGCACAAGAGAACCATTTTCCTCACCTCCTGCCTGGGTCCTGTTCAAATGATTCAACATTCACGGAAACAATGTTATCCAAGGGAGTAGAAAAATCAATGAATTAATCTTGAGATCATCAGTTACTTCACATTAACTGCACGTTTGGTGCCAAGTTCATACATCAATGAACCCCAAAAGTGACCATTAACGTGTCCATTCCACAAGCATTCATCTAACCATACTGGGAAGCAATACAAAACAGTGACCATGCCGGGCAGGATGGCGCACGTTTGTAATCCCAGCAGCTCGGGAGGCTGAGGCAGGAGGATCACGAGTTCAAAGCCAGCCTTAGCAACTTAGCAAGGAATTAAGCAACTCAGTGAGACCTTGTCTCTAAAAAAAAAAAAAAAAAAAAGTATTTTAAAAAGGACTGGGGATGTGGATTAGTCGCTAAGCGCCCTGGGTACATCGGTACCAAAAAACAAAACAAAAAAAAAAGTGACTACGCTTTGGGCTCTGGACCCAGGATGGCCGGATGGATGATGGACTCCGATTTGGGAGCACCAAACATTAAATGACCTGTGCCATTCCACCTTCCTGTGACTTGATAACCTCCTACTTAAAATGGAGATTGTAAAGTTCCCACTGCTGGGGAAATGTAGCTGGTGTTATTGTTGACCACTACTGTGAACTTAAACACTCGGGTCACGCCTAGAGGAACCCTTCCTGTCCCGGGCAGCGTGTGCATAGCCGGGTTCTGTGCTCCCGGCCTCACCTCGCTCTAGGTATGTGCTGCTGAGATCCAGGGTTTCGAGCGCGGCCAGAGGCTCGCCATCCGCCCCAGCGAACGCTCCGTCGGTGATGCCACCCTGGAATCCGAGGCCCAGAGCGGAGGCCGAGAGGTTGAGGAGCTGTAGCGCGGGGAAGCAGGCGAAGGCCCGAGGCTGCAGCGCCTGCAGTGGGTTCCCGGCAAGGATCAGCACGCGGAGGTTGCTTAGCGCAGACCCCGCGCAGGGAGGCAGGGCGGCCAGTTGATTGTAGCTAAGGTCCAGCGTGTGCAGCCCCCCTGGGCCGCCGGGGCTCCAGCGCACCGCTGCGATGCGGTTGTGGCGCAGCGTCAGCACCTGCAGCTGCGGCAGGTGGCGGAGCTCGGGCATGTTCAGGGCGCGCAGCAGGTTGTGGCTGCCGTCGAGGCTGTGCAGCGAGCGAGGCAGGCAGCTGGGCAGGCGCTCCAGGCTGCGGTTGGCCAGGTTCAAGGCCGAGGCTCCTGTGGCCAGGAGCCCCTCGCAGGGCGAGCCCGTGGCATTGCTGGCGTCACTCTCCCAGGGCCCCTGCTGAGTGAGTCGGAAGAGCGGGACCTTCTCCTGGAAAGTCTCTGCCTGGCTCCGGTGCAGCACATTCAGCAGCCGCAGTAGCAGCAGGGTCCACCGCATGGTGAGTGCCTGGGGGAAAGACAGCCGGGCAACCCGTTAAATCCAGTGAAACCCCCAAACGAAGGGCAAATGTGTGTTCCCACCCCAGGGTGCAAGCCCTGGATGTTCATTGTGGACATCTCCTGTGTCGCCAGGTGCGTGGCGATTTTGCCCCTGTCTGCTTTCCCCCATCAAGAACCCCAGGCACTGTGACACTTCTTGCCCTTTCTTCTCTTAGCAATGCCTTTCCCTCTTCTTGTGGGAGGCCTCCCGCATTGGTCCACTGTGGTCCTGAATCTCCCAGTAACCCCCTTCTTTTATTTATTCTTATCTCTTGAGCTTCAGTAGAGAGGGAATATTCCCCTTTCTGCTGTAAACAGATTGTAGATTCATAGCCGTGAATATCCTCGGTATTCTTCTGGGATAGAAATATGGGACTCACGGAAGATTTTTGTCATACCCAATAACACTCAATTGTCACGATTTTCCCATTAGAACTGCCCAGCTGTGGGTAAGTTGTAGTTTGCATAAAATAAATTCTGAGGTCCCTTTTTTAGGGGTAAGTTGAGGTTTGCCTTCAGGATAAGAAAACAGCCTTGGGGATTGGGACATTGGAGTGAACGATTTCTTGGTCCTATATAGGTTTCAACAAAACCTCAGGCCTTCAGTGTCAGCACTGCCAGGGAAGGGTGGTTGAGAGTTGCTAGGTGGGAGTTTTAGGAGTACCTGGGATTGCACAGAGAAGCTGGGAGATCAGATTGTGATAGATCACTCTGCTGTGGATTGGCTAGAGAGTGGCAAAACTACTTCTATCAGGCCTTGGTCTTGAAGTTACTGCATGATACTGCTCCCCCCCCCCCTTACTACAGATGTGTGTTTCTGCCTTGGCTGTAGGCTGACTACTAGATCTGAGCCACCACCCAGGCTCCAGGGAAAGGACCTCCCTGCTGCTATTTGAGGGTCAATGCAGGGAGAAAGATCCTAGAAACTGAGGCCAGAAACACATTCATCCAGCAATATGTCGTACTCACCCAGAAGCTGCCTTGTGGAGTGTGGATACCCCTTGACAGTCTTTGATCTTGTTTTATGTATTCCAGGAACCAGTGACTTAGAGAGCAACTCAGCTTTGAATGCCAGAGGGATTACTTTTTCTCAGCTGCCCTTCCCCCTCCCTGTCCACTGAGAGAGCCTGAGATTCTCCAGACTTGCAGCCCCTCCTTCCCCAAGACATTGTTGACTTTAACCAACACCACATTGCCTGTCTCTCTCCTCCCTTCTGGGAAGTGGGCTGCCCCTCTCCAGATCGGGCACCTCCTCCCAGCCCTCCCCATCTCCACCTTTCCTTACTCCACCTCTCCAGGCTTGAGGAATGGAGGCAGAGAGCAGCTAGAGGTACATGAGGCAGAGGCAGCTCTGTCATTTCTCAGGAATCCCATTCTGTCTGCCAGGTGCTTCTCATTTTTTGGGATGGGTGGAGGCTGAATGGTGGGCTAGTAATGGTGAGTTGAATCCCCCTCTCCCAAGGAAGGCACGGGGCTCTAGTCTAGGGAAGGGCTTGCAGAGATTCACAGGAAAGTGACAGGAAAGGGGAACTTCAGAGGAGACAGAAGACAGATCTGCCTTTGGTTGCTCTGAGAACCAGTTCAGTGACAGCGTAGATGTTTGTCTCTCCTAAGGAGTGGGAACAAATAAAGGAGGCAGAAGTGGGGAAAGAGCATCCTTGCCCAGGGACTGGGACTATGGCTCCTGATTGTCAAAGTCCCCAGGTCTCTTAAAGATGTGATGGGACACCATGAACTTTGTTTACAGCATTGTTTAGAGCAGAGAGCACCCTTCTTCCGCAGAGCTTCAGAGAGCAGAGATGACGCATTTTACTTAAGAACCTTTGATCTCACTCTCTCCCTTCATTTCTCCCAGCCCCCCAGGAGGCCTGAGAGCAGGCCTGGGCTCATTTTCCCCAGTTCTGTTGAGTGCAAATCCTGAGACCAGAACTTTATATCTTTCCTTCTGTCACTCCTTATCTGGGCAACCCTGAGCAGTCCCAGGACAACGTTGGCTTATTTGGATAATTGTATGTCCTAGAGGTTTCCTTTGACCTCTTCTCTACCCAAAGCTTCAAAAACACCCTTGTCATGTAGATGTTAGTGAGGGGAAGAGGTGTTGCTCAAAAATATTGCTTGGTCTGTCCAAGCTGGGGCTGGTGGTACTGGGGAGGTCTGTTCTATACTCAGGATTGGGCCAATGCAGTCTCCACCCAGAGCGTCTGGGCCCTGGCTCCAGAGCTAGAAATACTGCACTGTGCATGACCAAGAGTCCTAGCAGGAGGGAGAAGTTGAGAGAAAGGTGGGAAGGGGAGGGACAAGGGGGCTGGCCCAGAGGGACCAGCCAGTGGGCAGCCTGCAGTTGAGGCCCTTCCCTCTGCCTTTGCATCAAGAGTTCCCCAACCAAGAATCAAAGCCTGAGGCTTCCTTCAGAGTTAAACCAACTCAATCCACCCAGGTGAGATGATTGGCCACCTTGAGGCCAGCAGGGGCTTGGGGAATCCAGGCAAAGCTGGCCAGATAAGAAGAATCCAGATCCACTGAAATGTACCCTGTTCAAAAGAGATCCCAGGAGGAAGGAAATTGGTGAACCAGGAAGGTCTATAAAATAGGACCTCAGGGAGCCACGTCAATGGCACTCCTCTGTGAACCCCCAGGGTGAGTGGTCTGGAGAGGCCCTGGCTGAGGAAATCCCTGAGGTTATCACCTGTGCTTGCCTGGTGCTCAGGTCCTCCAAACCGGCTTCTTATCATGGGCTTCTTCAATAGTCCATCAGTGGTGGCAAGGGTCTGGCCTCTATAGATAGCTGATGTGCTGTCTGAACTTGGCTCTCTGGGCTGTTCTATTGTTATGGTCACCCCCCCGCCCCCCAGCAGATACAACCACGGTGGGCTGTCCAGTCAGGTCCTTGAGCTAGGAAGGTTAATGAGGCAGAGGCAGCTCTGTGTGGAAGAGTTTGCTTATTGTCCCTCCTCAGGTAGGGAGGTGGCTTTGCCCTTGTCTCCTCCAGTGACAGTATACACTATCATCATCACAGCTCCTTTTTAAAAAGATAGAGCCTAATGCCGTATGCATTTTCTATTGAGTTCTCTCCAAGTATGATTTTTCTCATGTTACAGTTAAAGAAACTGAGGCTCACAGAAGCTGAGTAGGTTCTGGAGTGCTGTCTGACTTAACTGGTGAGCTGTCTGACTTAAGCACGGAGTTCAATCACCTTCCATGGGCTTTATTTAGCATGTTAAATTACAGAGTTAATCTGTAATATTCCCCTTAAGCACAAAGAAATTTCTCCAGATATTTAGATAGACTCAAATCATGGAAGAAGTCAGAATGAGGGAGAAATTTTCTTTCATGGTTGAGCAGTTTATTCGTAAAATGCACTGAGCTGACTTCTTGGGTCACTGGGCACAGGACTGCAGAAGAATCCTGAGCAGGGCCCACCGGGCACCTCTCATGGAGGCCCCAGCCAGTTTTTTCCAATCCTTTCTCCTCTTCTAACATGTCTTGGAGGTCAGGAAAGGGTGACTGAAGTGTTGTTCCCTTCATGGAAGGATGCCAAGAAGTATATGAAATTTCCAAGTGCCACACCAAATGTCACATGCCAAATGCCACACTGGGTCCTATCCCCCATGGCTTTCCCTGAGCCGTTCCTCCTGCCTGAGTGCTCCTCCACTCTTCCTTGATTGACTTAGTCTCTTGCATCAAGTGGTGAGAAGCCAGCCTCTGGTTCTGATTGGTTCCATGGTTCTTCTAGCAGCTTCAACCTCTGGGTACATCTGCCTTTTCCAGAACATAAAACAGCAACTCCACGGAGGGCTATGGGACCATGGATGGGTACTGACAGCACCTGCTATAGCTCCCATCAAGATTTCACCCAAGCAGACCCTCCCTTGCCTCCCGCAAGCTATATTAGGTGCCCTTCCTTGTTGTTCTTTTTCAGGTGATATTGGCTGCCTGCCCTGGGTGCTTGACATGTTTCTTCCATCACTTAGGAATGAACTTCCTGACAACAGGACCCCATTGGTTATCTCATTAGCCCCAGAGTATGGCACTTAGGAGAATGTAAAAAGGAAAAGGCATGGGAGGAATATGGTGGATCGTGATGTTCTCCAGTGTCCAGTGGGTGGATGGAGTGGGACTCAAAATAGGACAAATTAAACCCAAGAGCCTAAGATTTGCAATTCAAGTCCTCCAACATCCCAGTGTTGAGAAAGGCTAAGGTGAGGGTGAAGATGATGGAGGTAGAAAATTGAGTCACAAAGAATTTTGCAGCCCATTTTCCAACACACTCATGGATCTTGGGTGGAAATTTCTCTTAGAAGATCTATGTTAATAGAAACAGCAGCAGGGGAAGAAAGAACCAGTAATTAGGGGCTGGGGATGTGGCTCAAGCGATAGCGTGCTCGCCTGGCATGCATGCGGCCCGGGGTTCGATCCTCAGCACCACATACAAACAAAGATGTTGTGTCTGCCAAAAACTAAAATAATAATAATAATAATAATAAGTATTAAAAAATAAAAAGAACCAGTAATTACACACTTGGCTAACCTTCCTTTTTGGATTTAGATAAAAACCAGGGTTATAGATCCTTGGCTTCAACAGGCACTTTAGAACTTATCTGGTCTCATCACCCCACATCATCAGAGGGAGAAAACTGAGCCCCAAAGAGAAGGATATTGGCTTGTCTGAGGTCGCATAGTGGGGAATTCTTCTTTGTCCAGTGAGAAGGAAGGGAGACTCATTCTCACAATTCCGTTCTGTGTTATTTACATAGATGACCAGGTCACTCCTATCCAACATTAGCAATGTGTGCTTATCCCCATAGGTATGGCTGAGTCAATTTTCCTGGTGGGAGCCAAGCCCTGAAAAGAGTTTCTAGTGGTTTTGACTCCTGCTGTACCATCCCATCCCGTAAATACAGGAACAAATACCCCTAACACAGGTTGCCCCAGAAAATAAAAGAGTCCTATTTGGCTTTC